GTGATTTTAACAGTTGTCTTAATTCTGTTTCACAATAAAATTGCTACTACTGGATACAAGCATATTTAATTGTAAAAAGTAAAGTTAGGTTCTCAATCCAATCCATATCTTGCCCCCAGCAAACCTAGCTAACAATCTTAAAGACTCTTGAATCCAGATTTTTAAAAGAAGTTATCAAGTGCCACATAGCTAGAAGACAGTCTAAGTTTTGAAACTTAAATCATAAACTAGTTCAAGGTCAAAACCATAAAATCACACAACAGCCCAAGAAACTACGTTTGACTTTTCACTACAGCTTTCCTTCCAATCTACTCTAATCTCTCTTCATTTACTGCTACTTCTGTAATCCAAACAAAAGCAATAAAACCAATTATCTATGTTCATACAAACATGCACGCTCAGATTTCAATAACTTCTTGAGAAAATATAGAGTGGTCCAACCACAGAATGAGCTACAGCCCATCTCTGATTAACAGAGATGTTTATCACCCCATACAGGTTTATGGCTGCCTATGGGACACATATGTTATTTTTAGGAGCCAGAGAGGGAAGAAAAAAAAAGTAGTTTAAAATAAAAGCCCCAAATTACAGCAACAAGGCAAAAACAGAGGGGGCCGTTTTGATCAAGTCATATCCTAAAGCAGCAGGGTTTTTGATTTCTAAGAATTCGCCCAAAACAAATCTAGATAGTCTTGACGCTTCAGAATATTAATAACCTGTCATTTCTAATCAAAAAGTCTTTTCATAAAGAACATATTATTTAGGAAGTTCCACATAAGTTCAAATATCCAAGTATTCTTAAAACCAACTTGAAAAAGAACTTTGAAAGTGATGAACTGACCTCCATTGCTTTAGGGATCTGATGCAGTGATTTTCTCAGGGACTAGAAAACTAATATTACCATGCATTTCACTTTTAGGCACTATTTTAAAACAGACTGAAGATAACTTCTAAGCTCTAGAAATAAGATCTGTTTGCTGAAACTCACATTTTGGTTGCTCCCTCATCAAAATGCAGACAAATAATAAGGTTACTCAAAAATTAACAGTTGTTAACTTGGAACTTTTGCGAATTTCCCTCAGAAGTGACATACTTTTGGCTGTGATGAAACAGGAGGAGTACTAATCAAAGGTTTGATAGGGACTGTGTTAGTCTGAGGTGTGCTTATTCTTGGAGACACATCTCTGCATCACTCTACATACCCCCCACAATCCTAGGTCCCCCAAAGAACACTTACCCAACCAAGTCAGAAACCGACATCCAACGTGGACTCACTGACTAAACGAGCTCTGTGTCAGAGCTCAGCACACCCAGCACAGGACTCCAAGGCCACAGCAAGGAGTTGAGCCTGAGCCTAACCTCACACAGCAGCCCTTCAGCACCGTCATTGCTTCGCTGAGGCTCAGGCACTGTCCTGTGCTCAGTCTCCTGCTGCATAGCCTAGTCAAAGGACTTCAAGAGCCTTTGCGCCACTCTACTTGAAGAGGGACCACTAGCTCAAGGCAAGAACTGTTTTTTTTCCATATCATGTAGCCAAGTCACCTGACATCAGGACAGGCATTATGCAAATTGTTGCTTGAGACACCAGATCCCAGCTGGGCAAGCCTGGTTCAGCTCCTAGCTCCTATGCCTCTGATATACCTCCCTGCTAAGGTCCTGAGGGGGCGGCAGAAGATGGCCCAAACACTAGGTTCCTGACCCCCACATCTGAGACCTGGATGGAGTTCCAGGCTCCTGGCTTTGGCCTGGCCCAGTCCCAGCTGTTGCAGCCATTTAGAGAGTAAACCACTGGACAGAAGATCTCTTTGTCTCTCCCTCTCAAATATAATGTGTGTGTGTGTGTGTGTGTGTGTGTGTATTTAGAATCATCTAACATCAACCTGCCCAAACTTCAGCTCTTCAAATATATAACAATGCTTTCTGAAGATTGAGGGCACATCGCAGTTTACCTTCAGCTTTCGAGTAAAACTCTTTTATTAGCAACTTAAATCACACTATATTACAGATTTACAGTAATACCTTAAGATAAATTCCAAAGCATCATCTAAAAACATTAAAAAAGGGAAATACATATACTACTATAATGCTAGTGTTACCAAAACCAGCTAAAATAAAGATAGCCAATCTTTAAAGAAGTTTTTAAGAAGTGCTGATAAAATTCCAGACAATTGTAGACATTTCTAAGAATACAGATACCTTGTGTTGAGAGTTGTGCAGCTTGAGAGATCAGAGAGGTTATGTTGAAAGCAGTAAGAAACTTATGAATTATGGACCGCAGTGAAGCCTGGGTCACAGCTGCTGTAAGAACTAAAAACATTACTTCATAAATTCAAACAGAAGCACAGAGGCCTACAAAGCATTAGTAACAACCTGGAAACTTGAACAGGACTGGGAAAACAGATGAAGCACTTACAACTGGAACTCTTGAAATAAAAACCTAGAAAATGGGTGATGGCGTGCACTGTGGTATAGTGGGTCAGGCCACTGCCTGCAATGCCAGTGTCCTATACAGGTGCCGATTCCAGTCCCAGCTGTTCTACTTCTAACCAGTTCCCTGCTAATGGGCCTGGGAAAGTAGCAGAAGACAGTCTAAGTGTTGGGGCCTGTGGGAGACACAGATTGAGTTCCAAGTTCCTAGAGCAGCTTGGCCTAACCTCAGATACTGGGGTCACTCGGGAGTGGAAGATCTTTCTTGGTTAACTCTACCTTTAAAATAAATGAATTTTTGAAACAAGAGAAACAGGGGCCAGTGCCATGGCTCACTTGGTTAATCCTCCGCCTTGTGGCACCAGCATCCCATATGGGTGGTGGGTTCCAGTTCCGGTTGCTCCTCTTCCAGTCCAGCTCTCTGCTGTGGCCCAGGAGGGCAGTGGAGGATGGCCCAAGTGCTTGGGACCCTGCACCCACATGGGAGACCAGGAGGAAGCACCTGGCTCCTGGCTTTGGATTGGCACAGCACTGGCCATAGGGGCCATTTGGAGAATGAACCAATGGAAGGAAGACCTTTCTCTCTGTCTCTCTCTCTCTGTGTCTATAACTCTACCTGTCAAATAAATAAGTAAAAAATAATAAAAAAGAACCAAGATAAACAACAAAGAAACAAAACCTAGAAGATGCAATATAATGGGTATAAGGATTTAAGATGGGGGCCGGTGCTGTGGCATAGCGAGTAAAGCCGCTGCCTCCAGTGCTGGCATCCCATATGGGCACTGGTTCATGTCCCAGCTGCTCCACTTCCCATCCAGCTCTCTGCTATGGCCTGGGAAAGCAGTGGAAGATGGCCCAAGGACTTGGGGCCCTGTACCCACGTGGGAGACCCAGAAGATGCTCCTGGCTTCAGATCGGTGCAGCTCCAACCATTGTGGCCAACTGGGGAGTGAACCAGCAGATGGATGACCTCTCTGCATCCCCTTCTCTCTTTGTAGAACTCTTTCAAATAAATAAATAAATCTTTTAAAAAAATGCTGCCTGTTCCACTTCTGATCCAGCTTCCTGCTAATGTGCCCAGGAAGGCAGCAGTGACAGCTCAAGTAGTTGAGCCCCTGCCCTCCATGTGGGATACTAGGCTAGAGTTTCTGGCTCCTAGCATCAGCCTGGCTCAGGCATTGGCTACCTACCATGGCCGCATAGGAAGTAAATCAGAGAATGGATGATCCCTCTCTTTCTGTGTCACTATGCCTTTCAAATAACTAAATCTCTTAAAAATATTGAAAAAGATTAAAAATAATCTGAGGTAGATAGAAAATGAGTGAGTTTACAATAAAGATAAATTAAGATCTACCATTAAAACTCCTCAGTGTGAGACTTTTTAGAAAACACTAGACCGTGTTCTCAGAACTGTGGGTTATCCCAGAAACCTAGCCAATTTTATGGGAAGTGCACAGGGCAGTATATAAGATTAACCAGATAAATGGCTGTTATTTCATATGATTTTTTTTATTTTTAGAAAAGTAGCCACACAAACCCTTCAGCCATACCCATTCCAACAACCTTTTAATTAAGAGTGAACAGAAAAAAGATGGTACTTAGGAAACCATGTACTTTTGATACTTAAGAGGCCAGAATTAAACATTGTAATTAATCAGGAAAAAATGGCAAAATTTTATCCAGTACCTACCCCTTTCTCAGAAAATGTTTCAAGTATTTTATATAACTACCTGAACTCCTCATTTCCTAGTACTTAGCACTTACAGAAGTGATTCATCTCTAGTAACTACCAGATACATAGCAAGTCTTGAAAAATATACACAAATGTAACCCAATTATATGCCATGGCTTTAAACTATGTGGAACATAAATTCTAAATTCTGAGAAGTTCAAATATAAGGGAAAAAAGACTAGTACTAAAGCAGAGATTTACTAATTTTATACAACACAAACACATTTTACAATATTTTTTTTTAATTTGACAGAGTTAGATAGTGAGACAGACAAAGGTCTTCCTTCCATTGGTTCACTCCCCAAATGGCTGCTACGGCCAGAGCTATGCTGATCTGAAACCAGGAGCCAAGTGTTTCTTTCTCGGCTCCCATGCAGGTGCAGGGGCCCAAGCACTTGGGCCATCCTCCGCTGCCTTCCCAGGCCACAGTAGAGAGCTAGACTGGAAGAGGAGCAACCGGAACTAGAACCTGGTGCCCATATGGGATGCCGGCACTGTAGGTGGAGGACTAACCAAGTGAGCCACAGTGCCGGCCCCCATAAATACATTTTAAATACCTTTTCACTATGGGGGCAGGCTTTTAGTCTAGCAGTTAAGAATGCCTGGGTTTTGAATCTCAGCTCTGTTCCAAATTCCAGCTTCCTGCTAATACACACGCTGGAAGGCAGCAGGAGACAGCTCAAGTACTTGGGTCCTTGTTACCTACACGGGAGACCTGGACTTTGTTCCCGGCTCTTATTCCTGCCTTGCCAACAGTCACGGCAGGTCTTTTGGTGAGTGAAACAGCTGGATGGGAGCTCACTGTTGGTCTGTCTCTCAAATCTTTTTGGGGAAAAAAACATGATAACCATTGTTACTATGAAAATTTACCTTCATTTACTTTGGATATGTCCACATTAGAATTATTAAGCTGCAGTGTAGCTTGCAAAGCAGGAAGCAACTGTCTAAGAAGATTTGGGTCCTGAAGTAATGGAGGTATTGGTGACTGCGGAACAGGAGAAACGGGGACTGCTGAAGCGGATGTCGGAGGTGCAGACGTGGGATTCAGTCCAGAGGCAGAAGATGTGGAAGGAGTTGTGCAAGAATGTGATACTGCCTTGTCTCCTGGTGCAGATTCTAAATAAATAAGACAATATGGCTGAAAAAAGTTACCTGAATTTGGCAAAGCAGAACAAGCATACGTATGAGAACTGGCATCTGAAATGTCTAATTCCATTTAGTCCGTACAATGGAGCACACAAAGTGCTCAGTAAGTACCTGACCAGGTGACATAAATGCAAGTCACAAAACCTGATACCGCACTCCTACGTGTGACATACAAAGCGCTGAGCTCTGCCTACTGGGAATGCCGTCGTGAACAGTTATTTTAACCACATATTGAAACAGCTTCCATGATGATAAAGGAACAATTCTACGTGACTAGATTTAGATATTTAGTAAAATAAGGTGGAAAAAAATGTTATGACCATGGCAGCAACCTACCTATGTAAGACAAGTCAGAACAGACATCACAGTAGTCACCTCCCATACAGACTGAGGATGTCACGTACTAGAGCTCTGTATTAGCCGAGTTTCAGAACTACAAAGTTCCGTGCTGTAATATTACATGAGGCCATGCTTTATCTGTCTGTGTCATTTAAAGATTATCAGCACTAAAATGAACTCTTCTACTAGTAAAATGTTTAGTATTTAGATATTAAAAAACATAAAACACACATGGAAAATCATGAATATTTGGAAGTTTCTATTTCAAACTCCTTATTTATGGAGTCTGGATGCAACAACAACCAAAGCCCTAACAGTGCTTCTGAAACATCTGACAAGCTGGTAATGTAAATTCTAAATGCTCTAAAGATTCCTGTGGTGGCTGAAGAACACAATAAGCAAGACAAGTTCTGTCAGATAAAATCAGTTGAAGGTGGACTCAACTTTTTATTTAAGTCTTTAAAAGATTTTTAAAACTACAAGGAAGGTTTTTATAGTTTCAAAAAGCTTAACAATTACATCCAAAGTATTAGTAGTCATAATATTTTTAAAAACTTCTATAAATTAAGACTATTCAATAGGAAAGCATTTTTAAAACAAGACATAAAAAGATTTTAGCAAGCACTTGAATGGCTAAGAAATGCAAACAAAAAATATGCTCAACTTCATTAATGAACACAAAAACATAAAACAGAGGAAGATATTCATTTACATCACCACAGTAGCAAAAATGTAAAGCCTAACAATGCCAACTGTTGGCAAGAAGCAAAGCAAGGCTTACTTCACGTTTCTAATGGAGAAGACCCACATCAGAGAGCCACTTGGCATTTCTAGAAAAGCTGTCCATAAACACCCTTTCAGGATCCACTCTCTGTGCTTAGGTGTACACCCTCAGAAGAACTCAGAGATGTAAGGCAGGTTGTAAGAAAGATCACCACACCTGCTTTATTCCAGCACAACACCGGAAGCACATGGATGCCCAGACAAGACAAAGAGCACAAAATGCCATCTTCCTGCCACGAAATTGTCAACACAGCAGGGCTCTAATGCAAGAACACAGACCCTCAGGCAGCAACACACACTCCACACTCTGACAAGGCTGGTCTGAAGACCAAAGAAGGACACTTGTCAAAGCATTTTTTGGAGGCAGTTAAGATAGCACATACAACATATGACCTTTAGACTTGTTATGAAGTCATGCAGGTTTCAGGAGTATCACAGTTGAGCAGTAACTTTAAATCTTCATTTTCAACTCTCAGAACTAAACATTCACCATCCTTCACATTCCTGGACAGGCGCCAAATTACTAGCAAGCTTACGGAAAAGGGCCTCCCCATCAGTCTTTGTACAACACTATCACAATGGTCATCAGAATTAGGGACAGCAGCTCTCTACAAATGACACATCTCAGAGCTGCTTTCCATTCATTTCAAAGACTGGTGCTACCCATGCTCCACTGGGTCGGGCTAAGACGCTCTTCTCTTCTAAGGCATGCATCTTAAAAAAGCCTGGTCCTAGATCCAGCAGACTTTGTGCTTGGCTTTTGCTGGTCTGGACTGATAGACAAATATCAATAAACCCAAATTAAATGATAAAACATGTATGTTGTATCAGCACATTTCTCCAGATCATATCCCTTCAAGGTTCTTCCACACACAGCTTACGGACATGTTGATTAACGTGCACAGTGAAGTTCAGATCTGTGTTTTTACTTACTGCACGAACAGTTAAATGAGTACTTACAGCCCTCTGAAACTATCCTCACTCTGTCACCTCACAGATTTTCTTCTTTTTAACAGAGAAAAGAAGGTAGAAGGAGATGCAAGGTGTTTTCAATTTTGCCTGAGTGCCGTCCAATCTTTTCACAGACTTGCCAAGTTACACAGGACCGTCCAGCCCCTGGCCCACAAAATTAAATCCATAGCAGGCCAATTTTTAAGTTGATAATTCTGTATGACCTGCGCATGATGCTAGAAATATCCAAATGGCCCTCAGTAGGTAAAAGGGTCCCTATCCCTTAACAATTTTTCAGTTGGCCCCTCATGTCAAGCAAAGGAAACACTCCAAATCAGAACGCCAATATGCACCACTTCAAAGGAACAAAAGTAACAAACACTTCAACACCCCTAATTTCCAATTACAACAGGGTTATTTGTCCTGACGACTGACTTTTTCAATTTTGTGAGAAATTACAAATGAGAAAATCAGTGTGGAAATCAGAGGAGTCTTCTTCAGACGTGGGCGACCACTGGGGAAAGTACATCTCTGGAAGTCGGTAGTTCTCTGCTAAAAGGTTTGGTTTTACATGTAAGTTCTCAATAAACAGGAACAGAATCACCTCGGAAGGTTAGGGCCCTCGCCTCTATCTGATGACCCTAGGGACCCATGAAAAGTTCAACGTGAGACTCTGAAGAAACAGAGTAAACCTCCAAAAAAATTGTAAAAGATGGCACAAGGCAAGGCAGAGTACAGAGTGGAGTAAGAACGAAACCAGAGAGAGCTGAGACTGTTCAGACAGGGTCTCGGAATGCCACGCTCCCCATCTGTCACAGCCTCCAGGCCTCCCACAGGACACACCACATAAACACCCCTTCAGAGAGCTGCAGCTTATTCAAAGTTTGTTCCATCAGATGCTTCAAAGTACACATGTACCTGAATGTAACACAAATGTAGCAATGCGAGTCCAAGCTTCATACTGAAGGTGCTGGTTGGGTAGCACTCCCCTGTGCCCAGAGAGCCCTCAGATCCACCACACTGCCCAGCACCTTTTTACGGTGTAACAACAGTAATGTTCCCTCCCTTCTACTTCACCATAGCTCCTGCAGGAACGAAATCTTGCTTTATTTGCCTCGGTCAGCCCTAGTGCAAGAATTGGATCTGGCACCAGAATGACACCAACATAGATTCGTTGACTGGACACCTGGTTCTGCTACACAGGCATGGGCACCTATCTATGCATGCTCCATTTCTTAATCTCTTTTGAATACATTTTAAACTTACTTTTCCAGTTGACATCTCTGTGACTTTAGGCCTCTAACCAATTCTGCAACACACACAACTGTGTCATCCACTGTATATCCTGTTTGAATAGGTAAAACTGCTTTCCCTCCTTTTATGCTTGTAATTATGAACTGATGTGTATTTCCAGTTACTGCCAGAAGGGGGAAGGAAACTGCAAAAGTACTTGTTACTACAACGTATTAAAGACTGAACCTAGAATAGCATCGCAACTATTCTAAGGATCCTTTTAAAATACCCCAAAGAACATAAACCAAAGTTTCTTTGTGAGCTATTTTTCTTTGTGATACACAATACAATCTAAAAAGATGTTGATAAAAACAGCACTTTTATCATTAACTTCCTAGGGTTCTGACGGTGTGTAACACTGAGCAGGACACTAAAGCTCAGTCTGCTTTCTACCCTCTGCAGTGGTGCTCCACAGGAGACGTGGAACACGTTTTGAAGGAAAGCAAACGACACAGTAAGTGTAGCAGAGAAAACAAGGCAGCCAGCCCAGTCTCTGCTCCTGCTCCGTGGCTTCCTATGATTTGCATTTCAAGTTACTTTACATACACATAGTGAGTATCTTTAGGCATGTATCCTTTCAGAACCTTTTCCATGTATTTATAAATGTACATAAATTTGCTTTACAACAAAGATACTAACTTTCGCAACTCATCTCATTAAGCTGAAAAAATATTCGCACTATACAGACAAAACGTTAGTGCATTTTTAAACCTTTGACAGATTTTGAAAAACGGACCTCCACATGAACATTACCACCTTGCATGTTCCCACCAACTGTTTCTCCACATCCAAACAGTAACTGTCACTAACCATGAGGCAAAACAGCAGCTCACGTTTTAACCTTAGTTTTCATTATGTATTGGCAATCTTATCCTTGCAATGCTTTTATGCTGGTACAATGTACCAGACAAAATGTTCCACTCTAAGTGTACAATGCAGGGACGTTAAGTATATGTCAGTCTTGTGCACTGACCACCACCATACAACTCCAGAACCTGTCCATCTTCCCAAACACTGCCCACTACGTGGTTAACTCCTCACTCACACTCCCTGCCAGCTCCTGTACCCACTATTCTCTCTCTATAGGAATTTACCCACTCGAGGCGCGGCATCTACACGCAACCAGACCCATATTTATCCTTGTGTTGCTGCCTTGTTCCTCAAGGCTCATCCATGCTGTGGTATGGTATCAGAGCTCCATTTCTTTTATGGTGGCTAAGGCTGCACATACAAGTATCACACTGTTCATCTTCTCATATCCAATGGCGATGGACGCTGGGATTGTTTCTATCTAGTATCTGTTGTCAATAATTGCTACCAACAGTGGTGTCTCTGCCTTTATCCCGGAGCAAAACTGCTGGATGCCATAGGTAATCCTCTCTTAATTCTTTAAGAAACTGCCAAACTGTGTTCCACAGGGGCTCTATCATAAGCAATGCACGGGGTTCCAATTTCTCTACATCCTAAAACAAACAAATTGCTCTTTATTTCTACTTTAAAAAAACCACAACTACTCATACTAATGAGCATGACAGGCACGGAATTGTGGTTCTGATTTGCATTTCCCTGGTGATTAATGATGCTGACCATCTTCTCATGTGTCC